GTTTCTACTAGCTTCTTGTTACTACTAGTAAGGCACCTGTTACTAGTAGCGTGGCACTTGTTCCTAGTAGCTTATTGTTCCAAGATTCATTATGATAGATGGTCTTCCGCATGAAGAGATGGATTGGACCACTACAGGTTTTAGACTCTAGACCCACACTGTTGCTTGCGAACATACTGGCCGTTGCAAACTCGCCGGCCACTGGTTGGCCAGTATTTATGAGCTGACCGGCATGTAGCTACGTGCAACAGTGAAGAGCAATGATCCGTTAAAAAATGTCGCTGCCCCGGCTTCTTTCAATGTATTTCGCAACAGAGAAAACATCCTCAACGCCAATGTCACTGCAAACTAACGTTGATGTCCCATCACTTGAGTGAACAAACTGAACATAGAACATGATTTGCACAGGTCCTGAATCCGACCAATTCGGTCATTCCCATCCCCCCTCATTCCCCACACAGCCCCACAACCTCGGTCCTCCACCCGTTCTCCACTGCACTCCAGTTCACTGTTTCCAATCAAAGTCCTCCACCAACTTTTCAAGACCTGCAGGCCCTTCCTCCTGCGAGGGAAACAAACCCCTGACGTGCCAGTACCCATCTTAGGGATTTCTAACTGGTTACCTGGAAGGCGAAAGTAGATACCGGAACCCGGTATCTCCCTGTGACCTTTGTGCTTTCAGACACTGCGGATTGTACACTCTGAACACCCAACACCGGGGCCGTCGCGAGACTGATAGATTATATTTTCTTTCAAACGGTACTTATTTGGGAGATACCATAAGACACCATTGTTCAGTGCTGTGCGTTGGATGAGTTCGTTGCTGTCCTTTGGAAGGATCACTGTGGCAAAGGTGGACTTGTCGCTGTAGGGCAGTTGCACTGCTTGATAGCCAGGCATGTCAGTATAGCCAAGCTTCTTTTCTTTCTTCCACATCATGTCCTGGTAAAAATATTGCAGCATGGAGCGAAGACCTTTCCTGCTAGCTAGACTGGTGGCAGGGTTATCTGGATGTTTCTGTTTGCTACACGGCTGCTACACGGCATAAATCATTGAACCAAATGACCTCCACAAACAGTCAGTGCGGTGCACAGCACACAAAGTTTATTTTGATCTCTGCTTTGGATACTCATTGATGCATCCATTGTTCCTTGTAGAACACAATCTTGCTGAATTTATCTCAGCATGCGTAATACGCCAGGTGTCAGAGTACTACAATATCAGAAACATATCCTAACCCTAGCCCCTTGAGCCTTCCTTTGTTTCGTTTTTACACATCGTTGTTCTGACAAGCCTTCCAAGCAAACGCTTTGGGCGCAGGGTTTTGACGGGTTGGATGACTCTTGGTCCCCTTACAACCAAGTGTTCAAGAAACCGTAAGCCGATCACTTACTTCTTAGTTACATTGGTCAAATTCATCGTAGTGTTCAAATGTTTTCAAACATTGAAGCATGGCCTCGGTTCCTGTTCCGCACCCCTGCAGAAGAACCCATGATCAATCCTGCTCTGAAAGAGAAATAAAACCTATACAAAGGTAAAACAAGTGGTAAAATTATGTTTGCATGTGCTTGCAAGAGCAAGCAGAACTCAGGTAGCGCATAGTCCTTGCACACCTCGCACCCCACACAAACACGACGCCATCGACACCATCACTCCAAGCCGCGCAGGGCATCTTCGACGCAAAGCCACGGAATTCGCCGCTTTTGGTGCTGGGCCCGTTCGCGCGTTGGAATGGGAACCCAAGGAAAAGGGCGTTTGATGGTGGTTGAAAAATGCTTGGAACAGCTAATATAGCCCATAACCATGGAAGCGCATGGAACTGAACAAGGTTTTGTTTGTATGGGGAAAGGAATTGTCCAATCAACCATAATCAACCCTTCTTCATCCTTCTTCTGTTTCTTGCCACGTGTAGTGAAGCTTGCTCATTCTCAAGAGGACGGACGGCGGTTCCTGGTGACCGTGGCCCGACACACACGCCAGCAAGTGATGCCACACCCTTGGGAGGCGTGACTGGAAAAGCCAGTGTCTCAGACTGTCGATTGAACTAGAAGGCCTCACACCAAACCTGGGCGATCAACCGACAACCACATGATCCACATGGGATGCGGGATGTGGATCAAATTCCCCCCCCACCACCCCTTGACACCTCTCCACCTCCAAAGAAACAAACCGCTTCAGAAAACCGCTTCGAATCGGGATCTTCCAGAAGCTTCGTGCCGAATCCGGGGGTCTTTGGAGCCATGCCACTTGGCCGAGTCAAAGACCGTCGCCCAAGATCCTGGCGACTGTCGCATCGTGCGTTCGGCACGAAAATCATCGTGGGGACCATTGTCTCTTCAGAATCACACTGGACAATATGCAAAACAAAGGTTACCGCAATATACCGCAATCTGAAAATCCAGCCAGCATAATCTACCTAGGATGCTCTCACCTACCATCTTGTCCTTTTTACTTTACTTTATCCGATCCTATTCAGGATACACCCCAAACTGCTCGTGAGCTATAATATGATATAATTCCATTTAGTTAACATCGTAGTCTTAGTACACTCTGTACACAAGTGACTTCCCGAACTTCAAGAAACCCACCCAGCTTGGGGCACCTTTGAAGAAGATGGTATTCACCAGCACCAGCACCGTCAGGGGGTCCAAGGGCCCCGAGAAGAGCTCCGGAATGAGACCCGAAGTCCTCTCACCTCTGTCGACGCTTCGACGGCAGGCGTCTCTGTGGGGTGCTGTGGTCAGGCTCCGTGAAGAAGGGATCTGAAAATGGTCATCTGTTCGGGGGGGGTTGAACAAATCACACATCTCAAGACACATGTGGAGCATTGTAGCTGCATGAAGGCTTGAGATGACTTGAGAGAGGTCATCACATGCGAAGTGGGCAGGCCAGTAGTATTGGAAGCAAGCAACCAGCCGGCGGATGTTTCAGTCTAGTTACGTGATTGTCATCCGCACCTAGATCATGTGAGTCTTCACAACCAAATGTCCCGTGGCAAAAACAGAAACACCATACTTTGGCCGCCGGAGTCAGTCCCCCTAAACCATCAAGGCCCTCTTACCGTACCCGAGACCACCACGCCAAGTTGCGGTCGCGAAATAAAAATGGTACCGAACTGGTTCGCGGCTTGGCCCATGGGCCAATAGGCCGATGTTTCAGCGACCGTCACGAGTCGACCTGACCCCGTCGACCGCCAGGGCCGGGGAACCCCCCCAAAAAAAGCGTGCCAAGCCACTCACCCATTTGTTGATAGGTGCTGGATCCGGATCCGTTAAAGGCAAAGCCTCAGCTTCAAAGTCCTTCTTGATTGCCTGGGCAATTGACAGAGAGAAATGATTTGGAGAGAGGTCATGACGGTCATCAGTTGTTGTTTTGCCTTCTGAGATCTGGCATGATCTGGAGGAACAATAACATACAATCACTAGTCGAGGTACAGTAACACTCGGAATGTGTAAAAAACTTGATCATCGCAGTTGTGGAAAGCGCAACGACACTCAAGGATTGTCTGAATGACCTGTTATCCGAACATTGGATGTTATATAACTTTTGATGGTGAGTTCCAGTGCCTCGTTATAAATATATATAGCTGCAGCTTTGCTTTAGTTTTCCCATAGCATCATATCAAAATACATCCACATACACCAAGGAGTTTCGACCCTCCCTCCGCCCATGGCCTCGATGTACTCGGGTTTGATGGCTGAGCGCACCCAGGCAGAGTTGGCCATCTGGGCCGAGGTCTTCGGCAGGGACGCCATGTGGCCACCCAGCACCGACAAGAACTCCTGCCATCGCCGGCTCCGAAAGAGGAGCGAACATGGTGGTATCAAAGCTCGGAACCTTGGGACACCAAAACTGTACAGAGAACATGGATATGATATGACTTGAATCATAGACAAGTACAATAGAGTAAGATATCTCCGAGACTAAAGCAACTTGCGTGGCTCCCTAAGCCTCATCGACGACACTTCGACCAAGAAAGAAACCATGGGTCACCCACAGGCCACCCTGACATGAAAGCAGCCGAATCGACTCAACAGGCAGCTGAATAGATTGTATTGGCATCGGTTGCTATGCGCAGCTACCTACAAAATTGTGTACAAACACAAAGTGGAAGAAAACGAGCACTTTGACGATGTTAGTCAACCCGCACATTACGTCTGAGTTGCTCCTTTTCAGTGGTGGAGTCTGGCGTTGATCCAGCGGCCACCATTGACAAACACACTGACAAGGACATGGGCGAGATGAGCACATTCCTAGGCCGCTCAAATCTGCGAGGCCACCCACCATCCAAGACAAACATGACCCGGCGAGTCGAAGTGGCTGCCGGTTTCCGTACTCTATCTTTGAGTAAAAAACATCTCAATAGCATTCAACAGCGAATTTGCAGCATATGTTGCAATTAGAGATTGTATCTTGACCCCACACCAGCATCGAAATCAGTCAGCTGCTGAATTCTTTAGGGATGCATTGAGGCATCTCTTTTGCCTGGCATCTATAGATGCATGATGGCTGCAAAAATATTCTTCTGCACTAGCAACTGTATCCGTGTGAAGCAAGGGTTCGACCTCTGAACAACCCAGGACATCCGAAATGACAAGGTGGAGAGTCAGTGAGGACATGTGTGGGAGTCTTCGATCCTTCGCATATTTGTTCAGCCGCCTTCAGCCGCCTTCCTTGATCTAAACCTAAACAATTGCCCAGATTCTCTGCATCTTTTTTGGACAGGAGTTTGAACAGTCCAAGGCCGAAGGCGTTGAGCCCTCCCACCGCCGAAACGGGCGGCATCGCACACAAAGGGACGGCAGCGACGGCCGTTCCGACCGCAAGGGCGTCTTCTCTGGTTTGTTGGTTGGCAAAGCTGAAGAGAGCCAGACACAGAAACACAGCGGCCCGGCGTCTGTAACACTTCGATGACATCGATCCAGAATGGCTCCAAGGCAGGGGACACTGTCGCTCGCCCTTGTCGCGTCTCAGGGTGTGATGGTCGGATTTGAAGGTGTTGGAAGGTCTTCTAAATGTTCACCCGATTCGAACGGAAGCAGAACCATTTCGGCCCTGGTTCTCTTCATCATAGCAAAAGATTTAAGAGGTTCACCCGGGTTCACCCACTGCAAACGACAATCTCAGCAAGCCTAATGCAAAACGGAAGTCAAGAAGCCTGAACATCCTGCAAATCCAAGGAAGCAACACGTTTCTACTGGAACGTTTTTTGATGTTTTTTGTGTCGCTTTCAGGTCGTTTTCATCCCACGTGGGTTCCCCCGCGTCGGAACGGGACTACGGGTTCCACCCCCCGCGGACCGCGCACTGTCCGCCTCGTTGGGCCATGTACGGTGCCAGGTGGTACAGTTGGTGCCAGGTGAGCTCTGCGGTTTGGTGTCTGGCTTCCAGTTTGGGTGAGGGAAGTCAGCAGGTTTACGGGTCAAATTGGATGCTTCACTTTAATTTGTCTTTAAAAAAAGTGTGTAGCATTTGGATGAAAGTTGGAGAGGTGTAGGTTGGCCTGCTACATTCGACAAATGATCCTGCAAAACTACGGAATTCTCTTCGCCAGCATGTTGATACTGCTTGGGCACTATGGCAACAGGATGCAACAGGTCATGACAATGAGTCCTGAAGGCAGACCATGCCGAGGATCATGAACATCCTCTTGTCATGTTGAATGCCCACTGAGGCTGATGTGGGGATTATAGGCCAGAAGATGCCAGAAGCAGAATGTAACCCAGAGACGCAAAGCTCTAAAATGAAACCACTTCAACTCACCTGTACAGCCAACCTCCAGTTTCAAGAACTGGGTAGTGGCCGGATTTGTCGTTTCCAACGTGAAGCCACCGTCAGAAAATCTATTACAACAAATGTGCATCGGTGGTGGTGGTGGTGGTGGTGGTGGTCGTCGTGGTGGTGGTGGTCGTGGTCGTGGTCGTGGCGGTGGTGTATGTTGGTGCATAAAGACATGTGCAGGGGGTCTATCTACTGTCCCGAATCGCTTTCAGTTCGGAGTTGACTGACTGCTTTTGACCCCAGGTCTCCAAGGATTCCAGCAGGTTGTGGAAAGTCTTGAGTTTTGTTTAGACTTTCTAGTTCTATGATAAGACGGGTTGAGTGGTCAGTGGTTCCTTCATTTTGAAACGTCTTCATCGCTCTTAAAAACCAACCCCAGAGCCCAAGCTCACTTCTGGAAATCCGGGGGTGGGGCTGTTTACCCCATGAGCATGTCTCCCAAAGAGCGCACGCGACGCAAAGTCGGGGGAAAGTGAGGCAGCCAACCTCCCCTGCTACATGGCTACCATGACCATTACCCACTCACATAGCAACATAATACAGCAACCAATTTGAAAACAAACCAGCAGGGTTATATAGTTACATACGGTCACACGTGTCACATGAGTTACCTGGCCCAGCCCCGCTCTGCCCGGTCCGAGTAGTGCCAGCCGATGAGGAAGAACACGGGGTCCTCCGCCAAACGTCGAAGCCTCGGAGCCCGGAGGGGTTTGTGTTTGGGGCAGGGAAGCTGCTCCAGGGTGCTCCAGTAAATTTGTCCTCTTTGGAAGTGACAGATGTTGTTCTTCATCATGATCAAAGCATGATGATCAATTGATATGAGTTACATGTCAAACATGTGTCCTTTTAACAGAAATATACAATTATATATGGCATTTATAAGGTTGTGGAACCTCTGTGGGGAAGAGGTTCGTACCCGAAGCGGCCAGTATCCAACAGAAGGGTCTACTATGATGCTATTGGCCGCTGCTTCCGGTTCACCTCAACGGAGCTTAGGGAAGCTCCAAAACCTCTATGATTGAGACAAACAAACTCCTCAAGTCCAGCTTGCTGCTTTCTTGACGTCATTCTGACATACTCTAACTGGAAACACACATATACGAAACAATGGGAATCAGAGTAAAACCCAATACTACTGGCTTTCAGGAATATGAAGGAAATAGGAAACACCTGCCAAAAAACATATGATGCCACTGATCGTCGAACATCGGAAACAAAGCATGAATTATCCGACATATAAAAATGAGTACAGTATCTATACGATCTATACGAACATATGAAGACAAACCCGAACAACATGTGTTATTTGACCTCAGGATGGCCAGAAAGTACTGATGCTTCGACGTCCCATTTGCCAAGGAAGGACGAATACTGAATACCAGAGTCCATTCCAAGATCCCTACGACCCCTACGACGTGGCCCTCCATGGTCAGATCGAGTTCCAAGCTCAGATCGAGTTCTTGGTTCCCCCGACGTGCCAATGACATACCAAGGCCTCGGGCGGTTTCGGGCACGGCCGCGGCCGGCACCTGTGTCGTTCCATTTGAGAGAAAGCTTCCCTCCTTATCCTCCTTAGGTAGGGGAGGAACATGGAGGAACCCATGGAGGAACTCTTCACTGGCCAGTGTCGACACGACACATGCTTTGAATAGTATTGAGCCCATGGTAGTTGCGTAACGCAAGTTAAAGTGGACATCCCGAAGCCTTGCTCTCTCTCTCTCTCTCTCTCCATCTATGCTCTTGATTCCAACCAAAGAATACCAAAGATACTACCAAAGATGGAGCAACCAATCACCAACGCGTATATACATAATCCTATGTCCGATCATCTACAATTGTACTGTGATCTCAAATTAAACCTCAAAGAGACAACACTTCATCTAGTTTCTCCCTTAAGGAACCTGTACGTTGGAGCGAGCGCTTCAGCCCTGCGCCACCACCCAGGCGGAACAGTTTCCCCAAACCTTCGCCCGAACCAGGTCCGACCCCCAGGCCTCACCCCGGTCTTCAGCCAAGTCGCAGCCAGTGGGTGCTCAAAGAGGTCAAACCCAGATGTAGGTCATTCGACTGTGCCGCAAGGGTTGGAAAACAAACAAACTCAGAGATGCCTGTGCAAGGCAACAACAGGCTTTTGTGCACCCTTGGACCATCTTGGACTCCGCAAACACAAACCAACCCAAAACAATCAAACGAATCTGTTTTTAGAAATCTTTCAGGCGCTTTGTAGGTACACCGTCCATATGTAAATATTAAATTTACAGGCCAATATCCATTGACCTCCCGCAAACCGGCAAATTATGCATACTGAGCCTCTTTGGTTTCTATGAACCTTTTGGCCCAGAAACATGTTCACCAATCCAACAGGTGCCACCACTCCAACAAACATGACATGAACCTGGAAGTGAAACTTGGAGAGCCTGTTCCACCATGTGTCTGGAAGAAAAGTGGTTCCACATGGTTTCACCATCACAATCATCATGTCTGCAGGCAAGAACTTCCGTGTCTCGTAACACCGCCAGGCCAAGGGGCGTTTAAGACCAAAAGCCACAAGGGCCATTCGCTGACCATCACAGGGCCCAAGGCATCGCCTGCCTTGCCGGTGCTTCCGGTGCCGTTCGTTTACGGACTGAGCCGCCCGGAGAACGGGCCATTCGCTGGAATCGGTCGGTCCCCCGGTAGAATGTGAATGGGTCATGAAAAAGGCGCCATCAACCAATGCAAGTAGAAATTGGTATCAATTACCACGAAAATGGCTCTAGGGCGGCCGCCTAGTCTCCAGGTTTGCTATGGTCTGTCAAAGGTGTTGCATGCAGCCTTTGCTTACCTCCCAAGCACACCCAATGTTTGGATGACGGCAACAGCTGCTTGCCATGGACATGGCATGACATGGCTCCCTTTACCAACTACCTGTTGAGGTCGGTTGAGAAGCTCATTCGGCACCTTGT